TTAAATCAACAAGAAGTTAAACGTACATTGAAAATATGATATCGCATAGAAGTAAAACATTTAATATAAAATAATGAAAGGTATCATGAGTTGTACATAGACGTTGAAGTGTAAAGTTCCTTTAAGAGTTTATTTAAAAATCGCATAGAAGTGATGTTAATAATTTTGCACACAATGTATGTATTAGTATTAAATTTATTCGAACGCATCACTGAATCGAGAGATATCGGTAAACATATTGCGTTATATTTATTATTTCAGAGCTTTACATAAAATGCTGTCTATATTTATATGTGAAATAAAAATGATTTCTAAAGAAAATGATCATATTTAAGATTTGGATGATTTCCAACAAGTATATATTTTACAATTTACATACAAAAAAGTATGAACGCCTAAAAAAGTTTAAACATGTAAAAGCACGTGATGAAATTCTCACAGCCAAAGGGAACTAGAAAAATTGGGATGGTCTTGATCAATCTAAAGTAAGGATATACTCGCACACTAACCCCATTTTCTCATACATAAACAAGAACACTACAATTGTAAGTATACAAATATATACACACAATATTATCGCCTATTAAACATAAACGGTTGTGGTCGCCATCAGATAATCATGATGAAATATTTATAACGAGCGGAAAGTTGGCGAATACCGCTCCCTGAATGTTTGTTATGTTCCAGGACTTGAACCATTGCTTTTAGTCGCCCTTTCTGCACCAATTGCCTAAGTTCGCTCTCCAAAATGGGTAAATGTTGACATATATGGTCGATATAAATCATTTAAAATAAGTCGCACGTTTTTGATTCGTTGACGAAAAAAGTATGTGAACTGTACAGTTTTAATATATGCGCAGTTCCAAATAATTGAAATAAAACTTGAAAAAAAAAACATCATTTATAATGAGGATAGAGAATGTGCTCACAATTAGGTCATTGCTTGAGGTTTCTCGACAAAGAGAATTTTGTTTGAAGAACGCATGATGTACTTGCATCTTTTTATCCTGAAGCTACTTGGCTAATACAACACGTTGTATTGATAATGATCTTCGTGATGCGAATAAAACATATTAATAGAAGGTTTGCTATTTTTTGTAGAATTGAAATAAAAAATAACTCTGTAAATTCTCTTTAAAGCATTTTATCGCGTTTACATAACATACATTTTTTCTATAAAATATGACGTTCCTTAATCAGTTTAATATAAAATTGATATACGCGAGCATAAGATATAAAATGTTTACCAATTATAAACAATCATTTGTCCATTAACTTAAAGTGGTTGATGAAATACAACCTTTTAGAAAAGATGATAACGAAAAAAATATTTAAAAAGAAAAATTACCTAAATAAATATTTTTCATAAACATAACGTCACAATATTGTGACATGTAATAATACCTTTTATTATTGTATTTCTGGTTATGAGGTAAAAAAATAAAATAAATGTTCATATAGTATTATCGTTTTTTTTTTATCATATAAAACAATGTTTGTTACTTGTAAGTACTCAATAGACTTTAGTTAATGCAAATTTAATATTGCCTGATAAATGATTTTTTTATATTAACACTCGTTATACAAAATTGACTGATTAAGCATTAAAAAAAAAAAATTGTTTCATCACCGACATTTCATTAATATGCAAGTCTACTCATTTTTCTATTATATAGAGGTATAGCAACGTCAGTACACTCACGGGATCTCCTTCTAGTGCCTACCCGTAAATGAGTTTTACATTATAAATTATGTATTTTAATTAGAGTGTATTCATAAAGGATGAGAATTCGGTAAATTATGTGTCCCGTAATATCTCATCGACTTGACATGTAGATTAATTTTTATTTTTCTACACAATTTCATTTTTATCTAATAATAATAATATAATCCTATTTCTCTTTAACGTCAAAAATCAACATACTAGCAATACTATTATTAGGATCACCCGAACGCTTAAACTTTTGACGGGTTAATTAAAAATTAATGAATTATGTAAACAGAGTACCATCAAAATAACCTATTGGCACAAAATAAAAATTGCTTTTTTAAACATTGGTGGATAATATGAAAAATAATAATTAATCAGGAGTTAATTTTATGTGATGAAAAATTAAAATAAGTAATTAGTTTTAACATTTAAATCCATCAATTAATGGCTATAAAAAATTCAATACAAGTTGAGACAGGTAAAATTTGACCTAAAAAAGAGTTTAAGTTATCAATTTATTTAATAAAAATAAATATTCCAATAATAATAATAATAATAATATTTATTAAAAATAAAGTAAATACTACCAATCTAATCTAATCTAATACTATTTTAGTATTAATTTTTATTTTATTAAACACTTTTTATCCATGGTTACCCATACATGAAAAGGAAAAATTTACTGATAACTTATTTAAAATTTATGTTTTCTTAGTTGAACAACGACAATCAAAAGAACCCTATTTTTTATGTTATATTATTAGTAATAAATTAATTTTAACAATAAAAAAAGCTCTAAAAGGATTATTATCAGAATTTAAATTATTTTTTTCATAGAACCAATGTGCTTTATAACAACCAATACTCTTCTTGGCCAAAATTGATTCTTATGCCTTTATTTCTAAAATTTCCTATTGATTTTTAAATAATTATCATGGAATTTCACATTTTAAATGTTTATATTTTTTAAACGAATAATTTAGAAAAAGGAAAGTTATTATCTCTTTAAAGATCATCTGAGATAATATTTGAATATTTTTTAATGGAAATAATGTATAAAAAAGGGGTTAAAGTAAAAAAATTTTGATGGTTCGATAAAAATGTTAAGATTTGCACATACTCCGCTTACACTACATGCTCGCTCTATGTATTTATATGCTTTTAACTCAATAAGCTATAATGGTACATTTATTTATGTAGCACACACTGATATGTAAAAACACACACACACATTATTACACACTGTGAAATCGATGACAACATACAGCAATCAGCTGTGTGATAATGGCGCGCCGTTCGACGTTAGTGATATACACGACTACATAAAAAAAGATAAGAGGTACTGTAAAAACTATAGAGCCGTTTGGTACAAAAATGTAATATTAATTAACACGTATTGTTAGTGCTATAATAATATAAGTACGGCAGGACTTCTGGTGTTTGAGATGTTAAATAATTATCATAAGTGTCATTCAAACATTACACGTGGACATCATTAATTAGTCAAAAAAGAGGTAAAAGAAGTATCAGTGAGCAAACAGTTTCAATGCGAATCCATGGCAATATAACGGATGGAGAAGCGCAATCAGGTCAAATGACACTTGCATGAATCGTAGTGTTACAATATACTCATTAAACACATAATTGTCCCTCACGTATAATCTTAAGTATATTTATACAAAATTTTAAGTAATAAAACTGCGTTATAAAACAACAATGTCAATTATATGAGTAAAATGTAGCATTTAATTTTATTTCATTTAATACTTTGTTGATAGTAAAAAGATATGTTAAAAATAAAATAATAATACAACGTACTCGTCATAACATTTTTATCCATTCATCAAAATTTATTGTAAAAAATATGCTACATTAAATATTGCTATATTAAAAATTTGAAATATTTAGTTTTTAGGTTATTATTATTTTTTAATTAGAGATAAGTAATAAAATATATGCTGTAGTCTAAACAAAATTTGATAAAAAAAATTACAGTGAAATCATCATTAGATCAAAATTCATAAAAATTGTCAGTTAGATCTGTTCCATCTGTATCAATATTTAACGAATTTGCTTGTTGTGCTAGGATTTTTTTGTTGGGATTTTTACAAGAGAATAATGTTTACTGTCTCTTATAAATGTCTGAGTATTTTAAACTGTTGTCTTTGCCGTGAAACTTACTTTCCCTAAGACATGCTTATTTTTAAAATGTATTATAATAAAAATCCAAATAACGCTGTCGTACCATTAAAAAATTAGCATGAATATAATTCATACCGGAAGTTTATGGGGTATGGTATAACTAGTTATACAATGGTCATTTTAAACCAGTATTTTAGTTATAAAGTATCAGTATTTTGTAACAAATATCAATATATAGTACCATGAGTTCATAAGGACTAATAAATGTGATCATATTTTCTGGTGTCTCGAGAGGAGTCCGACATTTCGTTAGCTACTTGTCTACCAACATGACCGTGTTGAACGTTTGTGTAATGTTGAGGATATTTGTTACCACCAACAATTTTCAATGACATGATGCAAACACTGATATTTAATACTATCGATTATTCTCATAATTTTATGAAACTAAAGTTTATTTTTCATCCGATTTCAGTTTCATCAAGACAATCAAGATAAATTATGAATTTTTTTTTTTAGTAAAATAATTAATTCTCAAACTTGTAGTACACAATTAATTTAAACTCAACCAAACCAATAAAACCCTGTTGAATAATTTACTTATGGCCCTCAAGCTACTAAATCCGGTTCTTTAATTAGGTATCCAGTCTCTTTAGGCGTAAAAATAAGATATTGGGTTATATTACCCAGTAAAACGAAAATACTTTAAAGATCCCTAGTTACTAACAAACCCTAAAACAAAACAATAACTCGCAGAAAAAAATAACATTCAAAACAATAACTTTTTACAAAAGTTTCATAGAATTTTTTTATGGACGTCATAAAACAAGTATTTCGACATATATTTTTGATAGCTACATGGCCGTTAATACTGAAATATTTTCAAATGAATCACATTTAACGTATTGAGCGTTAGGAATTGAAAATTAACACACGGACAATTAATATATGGAAAAGCTTATGAAAAAAAAAAATAGTAATAATATTAAAATAGGATTTATATTGTATGTATTTGCAAATAATTTAAGGAAAAAATAACATGTTTTTTTTATAAATTTAAATATTATGATAAGGCGAGTTTTCGGAGTATTATTTTTGATTCATTCTTCTAAAACTTTTCAGTATATTAAAAAGTTCGAATGTTGTACGCTATTAGTAGGTAAATTATCTATGAAACTATGCGTAAACGCTTATATGCATTATTATATTACAATAATATTTTATATTATTGAACTAACTACTGAATTTCTCAACACGGTGAATAATAAGCTGTCATGATATAACCGGAAAGACCCGTTTCGCATAAACAAAAAAACTTTTCCGAACACATTAAATATTCTCAGCGCAATCCGACAAGTTTTGTTTTGTTATGTTTTTTTTTAAGAAAAGATGTTCTGGTATATACTATATTTTTCACATTTTTTACAGAGACTCGCAAATCTTATGCCGAGCACATTTTTTAACTTAATTATTTTTTTTAATGTTATATAAATATATTTTTTGCTAGAAAAATATGTAAAATAAACGATAAAGCTAAAAAATGTTGATATTATCACTTTGTTGTTTCGGGAATTAATAACAAAGAAGTTATTCTATAAAAAATAACACAATGCAAACGGTATGTTTCATTTTATTATCTCAATAAAAATAAAATTGATTAGAGAAAATCTAGTTAAAAGTCATAGAATTAATTACTCCAAAAAAGTTGTTTTTGATTTTAAAATCATTTGACCTAATTTTTTATAATTGTTTCTTTTATATTTTATCATAACAATATAATTATATTGAACATTTTGCATTAAAATATAAATGCTTATAAAACGAAATAAAATGAAAATTCAATACAGTCGAGCGTAATGAAGATTTGGCATAGAGAACTCCAATATAAATTAAAATTTAACAGTGATTGACATCATTAGCATAAAAAGCTTTAATGCGATTGTTTATAAAGAAAAATTGGAAAAAAATAATTGAAAATTTTACTAATTTTTACTTTATTCACTTATTACTAAAAAAAGAAATTTTATCTGGACGTTTTCCTTTTTATAAAATCTTGAAAATAAATTTAAAAAATTTAAATTGATTTAGATTTAAAGAATGTAGATGTTCAAAAACATTATCAGAATTTAAATAAAATAATAAACATAGCACAGTGAAAATAAGTTTACATGATATCTGATAGTGATTAAAATTACTATCACAAAAAACGCTTCGATGAAAATCTCTAAATAACGTTTAATTTTTAAAAAGGAATTATAGAATTAATATAAAAGTATGGATTCCTATTTTCTTATTTATATCCTCATTACGAGTTTAATGACTTATTAATATAATACATAAATTGATACTTAATATAGTAATTAAATTTAGTATGAAATTTTGATTAAATAATTTTGTATAGTATTTAATAATATAATTCACATTTTATCTCCACTATAATTTTTTAAATAATTATAACTTCTGTAAATAATGAATAAAATTTACCATCGACTAGTTAGATATTCTTAATTAAATCATTTTTCTAGTTAAATATGTATGTTTCCATTTGAAAAAATTAAGTTGGCACCCTTATAAAATATAAGTGTCTATATATAAGCATGAATAAAAAAAAACTAAATAATTGATAAATCAAGAATAACATAAAACTAAAAAATACCAAAAAAGATTATCTTAACATAATTATTAATTTAAGAAAAATAGAGTAACTAAAAGTGTCTATTTCGTTACATGAATTCACCTTAAATCATTGGAAGTTCAAATATTTTTTGTAAAAGGCAGCCAATATATATTGAATTTACATTAAAAGTTGCAAAAATTTACTATGAAAATATTTATAACTAACACTTAAATCATGTTTGATTATGTAATTTTTTACACTACAATTACATTTTTGTTCAATTTCAGCGGTCATCCTTATCTTTGCATCTAAGCTAAAAAGAATTTTTGTATGTATGTTACTACTTTCTAACACTTCTCATATTTAAAATTTGGATTAGACTTCGAAAAAAATGCACATTAGAAAAAAAATTATCTAAAGTGTTACTGATAAAAATATCAATGAGATTTTTAAAATTTTAATAAATGTATAGAAAAATGAATAAAATTTGACACTTCATATAGATTTTATGAACTATTGTAAAACAAGACACTATAAATTTGACCATTGTTACTGTGGTAGCATAATTTTTCTCATAAATATTAAGTTTTCACAAACATTTTCTTTTATAATTATAAAATATTTAGTATAAGTTTTAAATTCGACATTAGATTTAAGCCCTCAGTACTTTATCGTTTGGATTTCCAAATAAAGTATATTATTGTGAAAATACACTTTGTATCCGCCTAAATTTTAAAGAATTATTTTAATGTAAACTGAATAATAAAAAAAATAATATTAAACAGCTTTATATCGACTGAAATTCTTTGAAACACTTTTCTCTATTATGGGAATTTTTCCAAATAATGGCGTTGATAACTTAAACTAGATACAATTTGATGAGTCAAATATTATATGTCGTTAAATGAAATCGATCCAATAGGAGCAGATCATATTAAATGTAATAAAATCAATATCTTCTCAGCAACTTATCAAAGCTAAAATATTATTTATTATGAATGATTCTATTATATTTCTTAATACAAAAATACATTATTCACCGTAAACTTATCTTATCTATATTTTAACTTAATTGTATATTTTTACAATATTGATGCTGTTTATATACTTTTATTATTTAGTTGAAATGGTAAGTGATTTTATAGTTAATGTCAAAAATAAATTATTTTAACTTTTATGGTAGTGAAAGAGTATATAGCCATTAAATTAATACATAATCAAAGTTAATTATTATACTATAGATGTTGCCGATTACATCAATAAAAAAATGATTATTTCGTTATTTAGATAATTATTACGTATGAGTGTGTGTATAAACATAAGATTTATTTTTTTAATTAATTACTAATATTTTTTAAATTTTGTTTACGATCCGATGTTTTAAAATATAATAAAATAATAACACGATAAAAGCTTACATATTGAAATGAATAACTCTTTTATTATAATTGAACTAAATTATTTTACCAAATTGTTTAAGAGATTTGGGTAGTAATTCCATTAGTGAAAAATATCCATGGTAGGGTGACAGTAACCTGAGAGTCATAATAGGACCTTTTTAGCAAAAAAAAGCAATTTGAACACTGACAAGTGACAATGAATTCACGTGAGTAATTTTTGTAACCTGATATCATTAATATATAACCAAGTATATATTTTGGTATATCTTAATCGACCTACTTATATACCAGTATCGTACACGTTGAAATAGTAATTTATACTACAATTTTTATTTAATTGTAAATGATTTCAGCTTATTATCAGAAGTTTAACAAGTCTTTGATCTTTTATTTCTTATTGTCTTTTATAATTAAAATTTTAATTAAAATATATATTCTTCTATAATTAAAGAAATACTATTAATAGCTATAAAAATAGGTTGATCCTATCAAAGCCAATGGAGTTTTAAATATTTTAATTTATATTATGACTTGTAATTAAACCAGTATATCAACTGGTTTAATTATTAAAATTATTTGTAACTATTTTGCTCAGTATTTATTAGTAAAATAGAATGCTTGATTTGGAACAAACTTGCTAAACTAGCTAATAGTAATTATTAGTTGAATATAAGTCAAATGAAACATCTTAGGATTTCATTTACCCTAGAAATTTGCATTGATGTCCAACAGTTGTATGCTAATAAATGTTAACTGTAAGGGTTGTTAGAAAATTATATTTTGCATTAATTTAAAGCAAACATTAATTATTAAGTTGTGTTTTCTTGTTAATACTAACTTTAGTTTATGAATCATAAATATAATTTAATATTTTCTATAAATTCCTTATTTTATATCAGAGTTTATATGTTTGAGTAACATTTTGAAACAATGTAGAATAATTGTTTGCGTAAACATTTTGTATAGAATTAGTAAATTAAGAATTTTATTTAATTAAATTTTTGTAGCTGTAATATTTTAATGCATTCATTTGATCAAAAAAATCTTGATTAATTTTTCGCTGGTTGGATTGAACTAATACTGTGTTTTATTAAATATTTGATTAATTTCGATAAACAGCTTAGTGGTACGTTAATTAAGGAGGAAATAAAAACGATAACTTGAAGTAAAATCTATGAAAACAAATTAGTTAAAGATTTAATAAATAGGATAAACTGCGTTTTAAACACTAAATTAAAAATATAATTATTTTAAGTTAAAATAATCTATTATCTTTAAAAATCATTTCAAAATTAATTACAAAGTTTTTCATTTGTTCTGTTCTACTTAATTAATGAAAAAACAAAAGTAGTATATAGAATTTGTTTTTTTATTTCTTTTAGGTACATGTTTTTTTCTATTTATTTATTATGAAGTATTTATTATGTTCATTCATTATACTTTATAAAGGCGTCAACTTTATAAATTAAATGACAACATTCATAATTAACTAGTTTATATTAATGTCTGGACTGGTTTTTATAAAGAAAAATAATTAGTCGATATTAACTTTTAAACCTATATTTGGGAAGTTATTGACATTTATATACCAAAGTTCTAGGAAAAATATAGCTAGAAAATTGATAATAATAAACAACAACACCCATATCCTGTGAAAAAATACTGTCCTACCGTAAGGTGGAGCTGACTTAAAATATTTGGTATTATAAATTGGTTAATTATGTATGTTGCTGTTTAAAAAATCAAGTTGACAACCTTATAAGGGATAACATTAGAAGGTTATAAGGTAAAAAAAAAAATACTTCATGATTGATAAATTGAATAAAAAATGTATCTAAAAGAAACCAAAAAAAGAAATTCCCTACATTTTTTTATTTTTTGATTAATTCGTGATAAATGAACCACCAAATATAGTATATGAGTTGAATGAAATAGCCCGGGGCATCAGAGTACTGTCACTACTAAATATTTTGATTAATACTTCATGGAACATAACATTGGTAGTGTAGTAAAATAATGAATTTTGTAGACTTGTAATCGTAAAAAAATTCTACTAAAAGAAAAAAAAGCAAATTATACTCATCAATAGTTTATTAGTCGAAAATAGCACACTTGTGATAAATTATGCAGAATCATAACAAACTGATAACAGATAGAAAGATGTTTTTATAAAACTTCACAGCAACAAAACTCTCTGAAATTGCCTTTCGGCCGGAATCTCGAGTTTCTAAGTAAAACCGGCATTAATTTCAAGCGTCTGTCGCAGCAACCGACTTCCGCCATCGCTTGTGTCTAACCTTAGGATTTTGGAACATCTCAATACTACGTTGACGTTGCCCGGGGCGGGTATGAATGCGAATGGAAGAAGGTTTCGACTATAAACGTCACATTTGATATATTATGGACATAGGACAATAAAGCGATGGCGATCTAAGGCGAGGGTATTTCATAATATTCCAACCAGAATAAATACGTTCAGTTCGATACCACCCCTAGATTAACAATGCCAAGTTCAGGCCCAATTACCGTCACTCCATATCAATATATCATGCAAAAAATGCGCATTTTTTTGTTTAGAATATTACAATAATTGGTTTATAT